CCTCCCCGCGGGGGAGCCCGCCCAGGGGCGGGGCCGCCCCGTCCCCCGCCTCCCGGCACGTTCGCAGCTCGGCCGCCCGGTCCACTGTAATTTCCAATTTTGGGGGCGGGGTCCCCATGTAGTCACACTTTGCTCCGTGCACAGGTAGGACTTGGACACCTACCGTGCACCTAGCACTGCGTGGGAACGCTGGGGATGTAGGAGCGCCCCAAAGAGACGCGTCCACTCCGGGGTGTGCGGGGAGGCCGGCCTTCTCGCCCAGGAGAGGCCCCGGCTCAGAGGGAGCCCCGCAAAGCCTCCTCGAGGCTCACCAGGACGAGACAGACGCGAGACGGGAGCAGAGAGCGGCTGGAGGAGACGGGCCGTCCAGGGCCGGGCAGGCCAGGGCTGGCAGGAGAGAGGCTCTAGCAGCCAGTGAGGGCCCCCTGTAGCTGGGTTTGCTTTCAGAGGATTCGGTTACCCGATGTCTGCTAAGGTCTGAAGGTATTCAATCCAAATTCCCAAAGAGAATTCGTAACTTTTAATGTCTGAGCGATGTGATGAAATCTCACGCACAATATGAACCATCAGTTTTCCCAGGGCGAACGCTACGAGGTATATAGGCTACATTAGCCACTTAGTGGATCTGAGTTATCAGATTGGGTCCTGAGGCTCGTGTTCAACTACGCCCGGATATCTGTATCATTCACCTCACGTCATCTTATCGCGGGGAGAGTGAAGGCAGTACAGTGTGATACTTAGAGAAGAACCCCGTATTCTTATAAACTTATTATGAAACCTAGGGTTAGCACTCCATAGCCTCTAGCTCTCCATCTGCGGGTTCAACCAACTGGGTAAAAATATTTGAAATAATTGTGTCTACCTGTTGTCGGGTGGGGTAGGGACCAGCAGAGTTTTCCAGGTTCTTACTTGTCCCGATGAATGAATTGGGCAGGATAATAGGTGGGTGTGAAAGATTACCGTTTATTGTAGGGCAGCAATAAGAAAAGGAAAAGAAGAAGCACAAAACAAGTGCTCAAGGAGAGAAGGGTGCTTTGAAAGAAAAAGAAGCTCCATCCTGCAAGCAGAACCGACCACTGCAAGAAAAGGGCAGTGACCCAAAAGTCTACTCCTGTGTCCTTCTGTGCCTCCTTTGATAGTTGATCCAGGTGGTCCCACTTGGTTTCCTGCAAGATTGATATCAAATCTCAGGTTTTGGTGTTCTCAGGGCAGAGATCGGTACAGAGTGCAGGGCTTAGCCTGATGCCGGGTCAGGTTTGGGTGCTGCTGTTGGGCACCTGTGGTTAATAAGTCTCCTCCATCGATAGGTTGTGCCCAGTTGCTACAGCCCCATTGCCATTCCCTAGCTGCCTACTACTGGGGGCAGCAGCTGAGCTGAAGGTTGGCAAACTCCTTGGGACTAGAGCAAGGTCAGTCCAGCAGATGTCTGGCTTTCGTGTTCCTCCCTGTTAACTACAGCATGATAGCTCTGAGAATGTTTCAGTGTTCTCAGCCAAATACTGAGACCTTGCATTTTTGACTCCATTAGGCACTTCCCCATTTCTACTGTGTATAAATAAAGACGCAGACTGTGCTGGGTTATCGCTGCCTCTCCAGCAGAGAGGTCAAGTCACACCCCATCCCAGCTTTCCTGTGTCTATTTTTTTCTTAATTGCTCATCACCCCCTCCCTGGACACTGCTCTCCATGCAGGTATCAGCATACTACATACCTGTACTGAATATTTTTGTCATTTCCTAAACAATATGGTATTTACAGACTCGTTACATAGGACTTGCTTTATATTAGGTATTATAAGTAATTGGAGGATGTGTAGAGGTTATATAAAATACACCATTTTTGATGAGGTACTTGAGCATCTGCAGATTTTTATATGCTTGGGAAATACCAAGGGTGGCTGTATATTACTGTCTTGGTTACTTTTCTCTCGTTGCTGAAACAAAATATCCGATGCTCAAAATTAAGGAAGGAAAGGTTTATTTAGCTTACAGTTCGTGGAGGTTTCAGTCTGTACTAGGCTGGCTCCAAGGCAGAGTGGCACATGGCACAGGGCAACTGTTCATGGTGGTGGAAGATAGCAAAAACAGCCAGAGCAGAAGGGAGAAATGGCAGCAGCAAGCAGCCTCTTTCCCTCTGTTAAATTGTATGCAAACTACCTGCCCCAGGGTCAGGTGTAGCACTCACACCCTTAATCCCAGCATTGGACTGTGGATCATTCAAAAATCTAGAAGCCCGCCACATGACTGCATGAGGATTTGGGGGAACATGCAGACACAAACCATAACAATTACCTTATTATTAGTTGTGTTGTTAGTCTTACTATGCTGAATACTAGGCCGACGGGTCTGCGATGGAAGGCTGATGAGTCTGCACCAGAAGGCTGAAGGATCCAAGGCGGAAGCCGAAGAGACTGCACCAGAAGCCAGTACATGACATCCAAGCTGAAGGTGAAGACGGGAGCTCCTCCAAAGAATGGAACCCCTCTGTCCTTCCTTGTTTCCCTTTTATATCATCTAGGTGATGATCCACCTTAAGGTGTAGGTATGTATGAATAGGAAAAAAACAGTATATATAAGATTTGATACTATCCCTAGTTTCAGATGTTCACGGGGTGCTTACAAGATATCCATGAAGGATAAGGGATGGACAAACAGAAGTCCAGTGGAGAGATTAAAATGCTGTGTTAGGCCCTGGAAACCAGTTCAGTGAATTCAGGTGGACTTTTTCCTAAGGCAATGGTGGAGTCATTGAAGATTTTTAATGAGAGTAATGTTATTGTAGTTCCTAGGAAATAGCTTGCAAATTAACTGTATTCCAGGTCCTTCTTGTCGAAGAATTGGGTGAGACCAGCCAAAAATGGTGCCAAAAGTTTATTTGAAAAGTGGAGGTGAGGGAGAAACTGGCTCTGCAGATTGAACTTGGCCTGAACAAGAGAGGGAAAGAGAAAAGCAAAAAAAAAAAATAGACCCCAGGTCTAGAAGACACAGGGCCAGAGGGTAAGGACAAGACAGCCAGCTCTTGGTGTTCATCTCTTTTATGCCATCCGCATCTGGTGGGAAGCGTGAGAATTTCTGCTTATGGAGTCTTGAGAGGCGGTGCTGGGTAGATACTGGGATTCTGCTGTGCCTCTCTTCCCAGCCAGCCTAGCCAGGCCCTATCTCTTATCTCAGGAATGTGACCAATTTTTCCACAGAGAGCTGGAGAGGTAGTCCAGATGAGAGATTATGGAAACCCAAATTACCAATGGTATGGAGTGGGGACTGAGAGAAGTTGCCAGCCTGGGTAGGGGAGGGGAGCATTTAGAAGATGGACTAAGCAGAGCTTGATGATTGAGCAAATGAATGACAAAGAGATAAAGATGATTCTAGGTTATGGCTGCTGTAAGTGTGTGGTACTGCTCTGGGTGTTACCAGTGCGACACTTCACATTGATTCTCTTCAGATGGCTGATGATCATTGCTTGTCTCTTCACACTTAAGAACAGGAAGTCTTGGGTTTCTGGTGGTGATTGACGTAAAGAGCATACTGGGTTTAGTCCTAATGATTTTCAAGGCAAATTGTTCTGGTAAGAGGATGAGTGTATCAGTCAAAGTTTACTAGAGATATAACACAAGGTATACAAATGTATAAGAATGTATAAGAAATCACAAGATTGGCTTCTGGTGGTCAGCCATGGAGTTGGATGAGGAAGTGTGCAGAGGGTGTCTGCACACTGGAGACTGAAGCACTCATCCCAAGGTCTGGAGTTCACTGCAGCATTCCGTGCAAGTCCATATCAGGAGGCCGACGGGTCTGTGACAGAAGGCTGATGAGTCTGCATCAGAAGGCTGAAGGATCCAAGGTGGAAGCCGAAGAGACTGCACCAGAAGCCAGGACATGACGTCCAAGCTGAAGGTGAAGACGGGAGCTCCTCCAAAGAATGGAACCCCTCTGTCCTTCCTTGTTTCCCTTGTATATATCTAGGTGATGATCCACCTTAGAGTACAGAATTGCTGAGCCAATTTAGTTAAGCTTCTAAACTTCTCAAGTTGACACATCAACCAGCCACTAGAATGAGTTTGGGAAAACCATTGCCTTTTCATTCCTGCTGTTGGAAGAATGGAGTCTGAAGGAAATGCTGTATGGCTGAAAGAAGGTACCACAGCACTCATCACTTCACCACTGTCTTGCCAGTCTTCTCAGTGGTTTTGGCCTCAGCCTGAGGTCCTCACACACCACCTCAAGTCAAGGCAAGTGTCTGCCTAGCCACTCTTGCTGTGCACAGTTGAGGAAAATGCTCCTGTCAAGTGCAGGAGAAGGCTTTGCCTCTTACTTTAAAAAGAACTGTTAGGTAGGAGTCCCACACTGCCTCTTACTACTTTCTCTTTCCATCTTCACTCACTGCCATTTTTATCTTTTTCTAGCTGACATGGAGGAAGAGGAGGAACTCCCGTGTTTCTCCCTGAGACCAGGAAGCATCAATCTTCCGCTCTCCCATGTAACTTCAACCTCTCCATTTTTACTGGTTCTTTACCTTCACATGTTTTAGTCTCACACTGTCCAGAGAGGGAACCATACTTGCTCTCTCCCATCCCAATTCCTCATCTCACCCCAGACTCCGCTCAGTCTTTCATTCCCACCATGCTGTTTGTCAGGCCCACCAGTGACTGCCCTGTTGCCTGTTCCCATGGCCAGAGCTTCGCCACTGCAGCTTTGTTTCTTGACTCTTGAAGTACTTTCTTTGCTTTGTTTCATATCATTAGTCTGGCCTTTTCTGCCTTCTGATCCATGGTGGGGTTGTTTTTTGAACAGAGCAGATGTGTTCTCGCCTCGGGCCTGTGTACCAGCTGCTCGCTCTGCCTGGAATGCTCTTTAGCCAGAGATCTGCATGACTCATACTGTCCTTCATTCAAGACTCTGCTCACTTTTTGCAAATGTTATATAAATTATCTCCTTACTTGCCATTTATTTCTTCTCCTTCTCGCTGTCTGGCAGGTGGCAAAAAGAGATCCAGATCAGAAATGGAAACCATGAATTAAGGGAAAATAAAGCTGTCCCTTTAGCCTAAGTCCCATTCTAGTTTGGGGAAGCTGAGGTGCCTGCTGTCTTGGATCAGCTACCAAGAGATGACCATTACCCGGGAGAAAATAAACTTTGTTCTTGTAACAATCATTGGTTTGGACCTCTTTGTTATAGTTGGTCTAGTCCTCTACTAATATACAGAGGCTTTGCTTTATTCTCTGCTTAATTCCCAGGGCCTGTCATGGTACAAAGTATGTACTCAGTAAAAATTTTATTGAATAAATCTTTTAAAAATACTTCTACCCACAGCTCCCTCCAGTTAGTATTATTTGTTTTCTCGTTTTCTTCACCCAAGCTTTGTGAAAGTATATTTTGGTTTTTTTGTGTTGTCACTAGTTCTTGCACAGTAAATCCCCTTTTAGGGATAACTCACACTCTATTTTCATTTTTGAAAGTTGATTCTCCTCCATCTACTATGTTCTTCATGCGTAGCAACCTATTAGAACTTTGAATTTCCTCCAGCACTTGCTGCATAACAGGTATTCAAAAACATTTACTAAGCAGAAGTGTTGTGTTGGAAAGATTAAACTGTACCAGAATTTAACAAACTAGTCTGAGGTTATACTAGTTAGCTTTACTAAACATGCATTTTATTATGGAACCCAAGGTTGCAGTAGTTCAGTTTCAGTATCTCTTTTTAAAATGTAAACATATACACCCCTTACAGGCTGTTTAAGCTTCTTCATTTTTGTTGTGGTGATCCATGGTGGTTTTTTGTTTGTTTTTGGTTTTGGTACTGAGAGTCAACTCAGGACCGTGCACTTGCCAGGGAGGCGTTGTGTAATGGTGGGTTTTGGCTTCGGTCTCAAAACAAAAGAGTATTAGCAGTCAAAGAATAACTATTTTCCTTATTTACTGTTGTCCCTGGCAGCCATTTAGTTATTACTGTAATATTCTGTGGAGTTGGCAGCTGGCTCATCCTACTACCTTTCCTTCTACATGCACAAAATCAGCCCATACCTGATTTTGATTTTCCCAGCAAGGTTTACTCTTGGATGGAGGCTGAGTAGGCATTAAATTGAAACTAAGACCCTGTAAACATATGCCATGGCTTCAGTAATCTTTCACAAAGGTTCAGAATGAAAAATCTGAAACCGTATACTTCTATGTCTATCCTAAAACAGTGGTCTTCCAGAAGTTTTCTTGCAAACTCTGAAATAAATTTTCTAAATCAATGCACTTCAACATTTTTGACATTATATCTAATATTGTCATAATAAGTTTACATAGTTGCCCAGGACAAGATTTCTAATACATTTAAAATATTTATATTGTAAATAACAGTGTTACACCACACTAAATGTACCTAAAGAAATTTAAATAGCTTAGTGAGAGATTTTATCATGCATTTAAAAATTTTGTGCATAAACTACTCTTTAACTGTAGGAAATTTTACATTGTTCTACTTTTTCTCCTTAAACTGGTATTTCCAATCTAGTTTCACCTACTGGATTATGTATTTGTTTAACAAATAATTATATACTATTTACAGTGTACCAGATACTTTACTATGTAACATATTATCTCAAACTGGTTATCCTGGGAAGTTATGCCAAGACAGAGATTGGGATGTAGAATATCTATTAAGGAATATTCTTGGGACCAATGTAAGTGGATGGTCTGAAGGAGAAGCAAGATTGGCCAGAGAGAGAAATTCAGCTGTGAGGTAATACCAAAAAAGACCTCAGCCAACTCATGGAAAACTCTAGAACTGGATTGACTGGTTCTTTAGTCCTGAGTTGAGGCCAAGTCTTTACACTTACCCATTAATGTGGGTGTGTCATTGGATCTGAGCTGCCCCAATGAAAAGAGAGTGATTTTGACTGAGACAGTTTCCTTGGGCAAAGCAGTTCCCAAAGAGGCCGACAGCTGAAGGCTGTGTGTCGGTAGGATTCCCAGCAGCTGAAGGAATAAGTCATTCTTTACAGAAGGATCTGAAAGTGCAACACAAATCATACCATGTCTTCATCAAAGCTTTATGAAGAGGAAACTATTACTTTTCCTATTTTACAGATTATAAAACTGAGGCACATGGTGGAGGCAGAATAGAAATCTAGACAATCTGGCGCCAGCATGGCACTTCTAAGCAGTGTGCTATAAAATGGAATAGCTATTTGAGGTAATTCTACAAAGCCATTAAATAACCTTCTGAAGCAGAATTTAGCAAACTTTTTTGTTAAAAAGCAGACAGTAAATATGTTCAGCTTTGCAGGCTATACTGTCTCTGTCAGAGTGTGTTAGTTTTTCACTACCACGACCAAATTACCTGTGCAAGACAAGTTATAGGTTCAGAAATTTCAGGCCATAATTGGCTGACTCCATTTCTTTGGGGCAGAGGTGAGGCGGAACATCATGGATGAAGGGCACATTGGAGCGTAGCTGTTGACCTCACGGCTGCCAGGAGAGGGAGAGGAACAAGAGGAGGAGAGGAAAGGGATAGAAAGAGAGATGGGGAAATTTTAACAAATTTTTCTGGGAGGTAGGTTTAAAAAACATTGCTTTCATTTTTACTTTTTTGTGTTTCTACATAAAAATGTAAGACAGTTTTATTTTTATTATTGTTTTTGTCTTTTTGAGACAGGGTCTTTCTATGCAGTTCAGGCTGGCCTTCAACTCACTTTGTAGCCCACTTGGTCTCAAACTTGCAACGATCCTCCTGTGTCAGCCTCCCGAGTGCAGGGATTGCAGGGGTGCGCCACCATGCCTGGCCACTAAATTTCATAATAATAAATACATCATAATCCTACACCCTCAAAGTTTAGGCAAAAATAAAATTTTGGCAGCATAGTAGGTGCTTTATAACTGGGATGGTTTTGGGATGGCCACTATAATGTGGGCAATGCTAACTGTCCCTACCTTGTTCATTGCTTTTGTTGTAGCGTCCCTGTTTTGTGTGTAGGGGATTTAGCGCATGTCTTTTGATTGAGTCCTGATGCACTTAAGTAGCGGCTAACAAAAAACTATCAAATTGGTACTGTTAGTCTCAGTTAAACCAAAGTCATTTTACAGCCTGTTCTGTACTCCTCCTTGGACAGGACTTGAATAAATCACATTTAAACTTGGAAACAGATGATATGACTAAATTCTGCCAGTCTTTCTGTTCCCATAACTATTGCCCTGGTTTAGGATTTAATTACCCCTCAACAGACAGTAATCTCCCTAACTGGTCTCTGCTCCTTGTTCCTACCTGTTTACTCCATTTCCTTTGTGTGGCCAGATTGATCGTCCTGAAAGTACATCTCAAGTGATCCTTTAATTAGAATCCTTGATTGGTTCATGTTACCTATGGCTTAACATTCAAGTGGCTCAGCCTGGACTGAAACTTAGTATTGTAAGTCATTACAGTTGATGAGAAAGAAAATTACCAAAGCCATTGTACACATCATCTTCTGTCAATAGTAAAATGAAAAAAGATCCCCACAACCAACATTAGAAGGTAGTTGCAATCAGATTTAAAATAATGCATTCAGAACCAGCATTATTATGAGGAAAACATGACAACCCAGAAAAATCAAGGATATGTGATTGGGCTGAACCAATAATTTGGACTGTTTGTGATGTAATGCACAACATGTACCAAGAAAGCCTTCAGACATAATGGGTTTGATGCACATGTTCCAAATCTTGGATCATTAGCAACTCATTTCGAAAGCTAAGTCTGAGGTCTTTGGCTAAATATAATTGTAACCCAAGGAAGAAATAGAAGAGGTTAAAAAAAAAATCAGAAGCATAAAGAGAGTCACAATTAGAATCAGGGCGGAAATGATGAAGAAGCAAATTCATTTCCCAAGTGTTACCCTCTTGTAACTTTCGAACAAGGCAGTTTTATAATCGTTGCTGTGTTGGGTGTATTTGTCTTCTTTTGAAAACCATTTAGAGAATTTACTGCTTTAATCTTGAAGGGTTCAGTTTGCAGCCATGTTTAGCACATTGGTTCACAACTGTGACTTATTACGTTAGTAAGATTTTTAACGTGTTCTTGCATAAATGAAGTATATATACTGATTATTTCAGGTTTAAAAAAATCACATATAATAGTGACTCTCCTCCGTGACATGCACATAAGCTTCCAGAATCTTTTTCTTTTCAGTTTTATATTAGGGTATGTTAGCAGTGCATAATGATTACATTCCTTGTGGGGAGTTGGGACATGTACATAACACATCTTAATTCTTTTTTTATCCCTTTCCCTCGTATCCCTCCCTCTGTTTCATGGTTCCCTTCCCTATTGCACAAGATTGTTTCCTATTATCTTTTATTTTACTCTTTATTTGTATTCTTATATAAAAAGCTTCCAGGCTATTAAAAAAAAGTTATCAGTGTGAAGTTTTCCCCAAAATATAAATATATATATGAATAGCTGCCGTAACTGTATTGCTGATGTCTGATGGTATATTGAAAGGAACAGTTAATGCTTACAATGTTTTATGTTCGGATCAATTTTGCATGCTTGTGTCTGGTAATCTGGACAGCTGATTTGAAGGTAACAATATGCAGTGGAATTGCCATGGTGAACTCCTACCATCTTGTCTGGTGAAACTGCATTATCTCCAATGTTTTATCTAATAATTATTTTCTTATTCTCTTTAATGGTTTGAACAATCTTACATTAAAAAAAAAATCAACTGTTGCTAGAAGTAATGTCCTCCCATCTGGATGTCTCAGCATTTTTCTGTGCTTCTCTCAGACTCCTAGTCTATTTAGACAGACAGACAGACAGAAATATACACACTTTATTATAATAATTGTGTATTGTATTTGTACTGTAAATTCATTGAGGGCGTAACACACATTACAGCCATCATTGTTCCTCTCGTTGTTCTTCACTGGGCCTGGTCAGTTCTGAAGGCCTAGAGCAGAGAGGTGTGTGTGTTAGTAACAACCTTCACTCCCAGAGTTTGTCAGGACAGAGGATGCATGATCACAGTCTGGACCAGGTGGGGTTATCAGGGCAAGAGAGTCAGCCCGGAGGAATCTAGGACTTTCCGGCAGGAGCGAGGCATCCTCAGCAGAGAAATGTTGGAGGTGTTCCTTTGGGAACAAAAGAGTGTAAGCTGGAGATTGTATTGAATGCTCAGCAGGGAGGAGAC